TATTTAATTTCTTCTCTACTGTTAACCACGCGGACCAAAATTTCTGCATGTGAACCCAACAAAAAGTTGTTCCACCTTCTAGGATCTTCCTGTTGGTAGGATCTTCCTCCCTCCATGTAAACAGCCCGTTAGAAGCCCTCAGGAAAAAGCCCTGAGACTCGTTTCTTTTACATCCTCATCATCTAAGATCTGTAAAAGAAACAGCTTTGTTAAACTATAACAGCGAAGATTGGCATTTTCAAGTAGCAATGGTAGAACAATCTTCTCAGTAATAATGATAATTATGATACATCTTTTTTATCAAAATAAAAACCAATCAGCTGTTCATTGAAAACAGGCTGGTGGTACTGACTGTTGTAAATTCATGGATACTTTTGAAGTTAACATTAAATAATATTGTATTCTTGTGTGAAGGAAATGAGTCTGGCTGAAATCTGTGAAAATGCCAAGATGGCGAGGGAATATGCTCTTCTTGGTAATTATGACACATCGCTGGTGTATTACCAAGGAGTCATCCAGCAGATACAGAAGCACATCCAACAACTTAAAGATGATGCCATCATGAAACAAGAATGGCATCAGGTGGGTTGCCTGTTTATTGTGTTAGAAAAGTCACCTACATTAAAAATAGTGGAGGCCCGCTCTTGAGTTATTTCATCTGAAATTTCATCAGATGTAATACATATAAAGCAATGAACAGGATAGCCGAAGCTTCTTTGTTGAAAAATATTGCTTGTAGAACTACTACCACTACTACTACTACTTGGAAGGTTTTGTTGGCTGTTTTGTAACCATAAACATTACTAATTTTTTGGCCTCATTCAAAGGTGCGTCAGTCGATCGTCAAGGAATATGACCAAGTCAAAGAGATAAATCAAACTCTTGCCAACTTCAAGAAAGACACTGTTCATTTTGGTGGTCCACGGCGTTCAAATGAGGATGAGCCAACTAGAGACCCTGATGTTTGGCCTCCACCCACACCAGTGGAAAGAGATCACAGGTAAATGAAAGGCAAGAGAGTTGTTCTCATTTTGCATCTTTTTCTATAAAGCATTTAATATTTAGGAGTAAAAACAATCCCTCCCTTAGGAAAGATGTGATAATCATTATGCCAATAGTATGGAACAAAGAAAAAAGTCTTGAATCTCAAGTCACGTCCTACACTGATCATGCCATGAGATGATGTTCTAAGTTCTGAAGTCCTGAAATAACCAGACATTTTTGTAACATAGGGAGTGGAATGTTGAAATTTTGTACTAACAAGCACAAATTTTACCTCCTCAACTCACACTTGAACTAATTACTAGCCAGTTACTTATCTTCTGACAACAACATATTCAGCAAATTCATTTTAACTGAACAACCAGTCACACTAAGGAAATAATTAACCTATCACAAAATGTTTCATGTTTTTTTACCATCCTTTCCAGGCCTTCCAAACCTGCTCCACGTCCAGTTGTCAGGAAAAATGATGATTACAATCCTTCAGTTAATCGCCCATCTGCAGGACCAAGCAGACGCCCTGACCGTGAACGAGCTGCAGATAAGGGAGGACGCAAACCAGCTAGTGCAGCAAGCAATAAACCTTCACGTGAACCCAGGCAGGCTGACAGAGGGGATAGAGGACGTGGCCAGCAAAAAGGAGACAAAGACAAGGGTGCTGCTAAGAAAGAGCACAAGGCAAGAAAGATCCTTTGTAATTTAGTAAATATAAAAATAATACAGCTGACACATTTGGGACCAGCTATAGGTGTCTGTCTTAGAGATCTGTCCATCAAATACTTATAGAGAGTCAGCTAAAAGGAGCAAAGAAGGGTAGGAACCAACTCCAGGTGTCAGTTACTGTATTAGCAACGTGTTCATTTGATTCACTATTTAAAAACAAGAAGGAAACTGAGTTGAGTTAACTTTCACAAATAGAATAGTGAGTGTATTAAATTGTATATAGCATTATTTCACTAAATGCTCATAACACTTTACAAATCATTCTACAAAGTCTATTTACAATTTATTAATGCTACAAAATCTATCAATACAAAATCTGTTTACAATGAATACTCTAGAAATAAATAATCTTAAAGGCATTGATGTTGGCAGACATCATTGCTGTCCCTGTTACCTGGGACAGGAAAAAAAAATTGGCCAACAGCTGACCAGCCCTAGTACAATCTGAGAAACAACAAAATGTTTATATTGCGGATGCATTTTGGCTCCAGGTCCCTTCTCATTCCTAAAGTGGCGAATAGAGGTAGGTACCCATTAAGACAGAGTTGGGCAAAAACAATAGTTTTTACCTGCTAAAACCGTTAGTGTACGTTTTCCTGGAGCAGGTCATATACTATTAGTAGCTTTTCCTGAGGTTTTTTTGTTGTATCTCAAGTTTAATACATGTCATGTAATATTGATACCAGCAGGGTGAAAGTAAAGAGGAAGGTGAGGGCGATGGTGAAAAGAGATTTGATGGCAGTGGTTATGATAAAGATCTGGTTGAGGCCTTAGAAAGAGATATTTTGCAGAAGAATCCTAATGTTCATTGGTATGGACTTGTAATAATAAAAATTAATTAATACAGTATGACTAAATTCTGAGAACAAAATAAATGCCTTGCATGTGTCTCAATTGAAAACTGTGAGGTGATTACATCCACAAATGGCTTGACATCGTTAAATTGAATATCAGTAATCAATATGTGATATGAGCAGTCTTTTCTAGTAAATTAAAAACAAACAAGCCATATGATCTGCACTCTTTCCTCGGGGGTCATTTCATGGGGAAACTGTTGGTGGTGTGCCAAAATGTTCGCTGTTTTCTTAATTGTTTGTTTGTTTGTTTCATATTGCAGGAGTGACATTGCTGGTTTAGGAGAGGCAAAAAAGCTGTTAGAAGAAGCAGTGGTGTTACCCCTTCTTATGCCAGACTACTTCACGGGTATCCGCCGGCCATGGAAGGTACATTTTGTAGCAGGTTTTTTTTTGTCAACTATAAAGGATATATAAAGTTGCAATAAATTCAAAAAATGTAAAATTTTAAAAAAGAAAAAGCATGTGGTGGCTATGAGAGTTTAGATACAGAAAACGTTTTGGCATCTCCTTTTTCAACCCAAAACTACATCTAACTAACTGATGTACCTTATGGGTACTTACTGGTAATTTTGCAGGTCTTTAAATTTCGCATTTTTGTCTGTTGTTAAAAAATCCTGAAATTAGACCCAAAATAAAAATCCTTGCAAAATTTAAACACATGGAATTTAATTCCCATGAAGAAAATTCAAATTACAGGAAAAAGTGGTTAACATGTTATAACAACACATATTGTTAACTTATTCTTACTGTTAAGTTCTATTTCGTATTTTCTGTTGTGAAATAATGTAAATTTGTAAAGATTTCACTTATGGAGTAGAGAGTAAAGCTATCATCTGCTTGTTCCAGTTTATTTAGAAATTTTTAAAGTTCAGACTTTTTGAAAGGTAAAATGAAGTTGAGAGCTCATGGATCATCAGGGTGCAAAGAAAATCATTTTTACAGCTTGCCTTTCGGGCAAGCTGAAGCTAGAGTTTACTAGCCCAGACATCATTTCAAATAGCCCGAAACCTTTTTGACGAGCAGAATTGATTTCACAGTTCTTCTGTTATTCAAATTCCTCAAAAAGCATCACTTGCCCGTCAGGCAAGTTAAAAACAGAATTCACTTGCCCGATAGCAAAATCCACTAGCCCCAGGCTATCGGACACTACTTTCTTTGCACGCTGATCATGGAATTTTATGCCCAATTTTTATATCTGCCTATTGAAATCGTGAAAATAAAACCCCTTGAAATTAAGTACCTGCAAAATTAAGCAACGTTAAGGTACATAACATCACCATACGCATGTAGATTGCCCTTGACATTGCCTGTGCAAAAATCTTTCTTATTTTCTACTCTCTCTAGGGAGTATGTATGGTGGGTCCTCCAGGAACTGGAAAGACAATGTTAGCTAAAGCTGTGGCTACAGAATGCGGTACAACATTCTTCAACGTCACATCATCAACGCTTACATCTAAATATCGTGGAGAGTCTGAAAAGCTTGTCAGNACAGCTTGCCTTTCGGGCAAGCTGAAGCTAGAGTTTACTAGCCCAGACATCATTTCAAATAGCCCGAAACCTTTTTGACGAGCAGAATTGATTTCACAGTTCTTCTGTTATTCAAATTCCTCAAAAAGCATCACTTGCCCGTCAGGCAAGTTAAAAACAGAATTCACTTGCCCGATAGCAAAATCCACTAGCCCCAGGCTATCGGACACTACTTTCTTTGCACGCTGATCATGGAATTTTATGCCCAATTTTTATATCTGCCTATTGAAATCGTGAAAATAAAACCCCTTGAAATTAAGTACCTGCAAAATTAAGCAACGTTAAGGTACATAACATCACCATACGCATGTAGATTGCCCTTGACATTGCCTGTGCAAAAATCTTTCTTATTTTCTACTCTCTCTAGGGAGTATGTATGGTGGGTCCTCCAGGAACTGGAAAGACAATGTTAGCTAAAGCTGTGGCTACAGAATGCGGTACAACATTCTTCAACGTCACATCATCAACGCTTACATCTAAATATCGTGGAGAGTCTGAAAAGCTTGTCAGACTGTTGTTTGAAATGGCAAGTATTGTATTTATATACTAATCATTACCGGTATGTTCTTTTTCTTGTATCCAAACTTCTCCTGGAATTCATTAAAACTTCTTGAAATTTGAAGTAGTATATTACAGGAAAACTCTTTGATTTCTTTTGGCCTCTACATAGGTGGAAAAATCCTGGTAAACCGTATATTTGTTGTTTATTGATACACCGTATACTGCTGGATAAATGTGGCATGGGATGCAGGAGAGTACAGTAAAAAACCTGTGACTAACAACCTGTATTTTCTCAAGTTAGTCTAAACAGGTTCTTACATAAAAAATGGTATTTGGCACAAATTTAGGCTATTTAGGCTCTTATTTTCTGGAGATAGACATACATTTGAAGCTAAGAGTATTTAGTGGTATTCAGCTCATTTCTTAGGTAAAACCTCATTGTACACGGTTACAATTGCAGTTGGAGTGATAAGGCACCTTTGTCTCCAAAATCAAATGGTTTTTGGAAAATAAGAACCTCTTTCAAATTTTAGGCTAAACAGGTACTTGTATAGATGGGGCCTAAGTGGCATATTTTAGCCTAACAGGTTCTTAAAAACTAAGTTCTTAGTCGCAGGTGTTTACTGTAGCCACTGCATTCCATGCCGATAGGAGTAAATAGGTTGTCTTGCGGGGATATGGTTAAGAATGGGATATTTTGCTCACCTGCTAGCAGTTAAGGGCAGTAAAGCCATTGAGTTTTGTTGTTAGGATATTAATTCACATAATTAGCATTCATTAGATCTTGCTTTTCGTGTAATATGAAGATTTATGCAGGCTGTTTCTTCCTTGCTCTTGCAAAACAACTTCAGTCCTTCTGTTCCTTTTTCTGCCAGCTATCTGTAAAAGACTCATTTTTTACGATCATGACTGTGTAATTTTTTTACAGGCTCGATTTTATGCTCCGAGTACAATTTTCATAGACGAGATCGACTCTATCTGCAGCAAGAGAGGTTCTGACAGTGAACATGAAGCTAGCAGAAGGGTCAAATCTGAGCTACTTATACAGATGGATGGTGAGTGCAACCATAACTGGTTAGGTATTCCAAACCATCACCTCTTAAAAGGAGCTGTCTCAGCAAAATGGTTTTCACAAATGTTCGTTAATAGTTAAAAAGATAAAAATATGGTTTGGACGTTTTGCCGCCAAATAATTAAATGTATTAAATGCATTGGTCGATTTTCCTGTCAGCAACCAGTTTATGCTGCTCTATTAAGTTGCAGAAAAGTACTTTTCAGCAATCTTTCTTCAGCTGGGAATAGGCTGCGTGTTCGTTAAACAAACATTAACGTTAAACATTTTGAAAACAATGACGCTGCAGGTGGTGTTGGGAGTTTCCTGACCGCGCACAATCATTTTCAGTTTTGTTTACAGATTGTGGTCCTGAATAATCGAACTAGTAATAGCATTTCTGTAGGTCAGTTTACAGTTCAAAATAAAAGGAATGCTATTAAACGTTTTCCACGTGAAGTTTAAAAAAAAGCTAACATAAACATATTACGAAGACTTCAGAAGGGGCTTCTTAGGCACTGGTCAAAAAGTATAGGTGGGGGTGGGCCGGAGCAGAGAGGGGGTGGGGTCATGAGGTTTTGAGCCTTGTGCAAGGGGTTGGGTCGTGCAATTTTCAGCTACCCTTAGGGGATGGGTCACCCTATTTTTAACTAACTACTGACAAGACAGTAGACTGCACTTGTTATATGAAACACAGCCAGCTGCAATTATTGCTAAAATACTCACAAACCTGTTGTGGGAGAAAATACAAAGGTTGACAGGCCGCACATCTATACGGGCGTGGAACCCTCTGTTAACCTTTTTTTTCGGCTCTAACGAGCATGTCCTTTAACGATTTTCCTTTTTTGTAAGGAAATGATTAATGGTTCTTTAAAAATTTGTTGAAGTTATCGTTGGTTTTGTATAAGATTCCATTTTTTTCATTCAAGCTTCCTTTATAGTAGACACTGAGGGCTGGTATTGTGTCACGAATGGCAATATTTCTTTTTCCTCCTTGTTGTGTTGTTTTAGGAGTTTAGACTCCCTTTTGTGAATTTTATTTCTGATAGTAGGTTTTCTATCAAAGATAGGGGGCACACAACGAGAATATAGTTCAAAACCACTTAAACATAGCATTGTTAAACGTATTTTAGTATTTAAACAGTAGATATAGGCATATTTTTATCCCCTAAAAATTTTTTTTTCAATATACGTCATGAAAATATTGACAAAGGAATCAAAACTGCTGTCTTTGTGCCCATTGCAGTTCCATGGTTAATTAGGTAGTGCTTTCCACTGAAGTGGAAGAAATTTTCTTTGAGGATTAATCTAAGCGTTTCCGGCAAGTAATGTTTAGGAATTGGTTGTCTTTGTTGAAATTTTCATATGCTTTGTGACAGATAATTTCAACATACCCTCGTTTTGCTGCATATTTGTGTCAAGACTCATAACGTCCATTGAAACAAGAAATTTTCTTTTTTTCACATTCGTCTTTTCAGTGAAAGGTATGATTTCTNCCCTCGGTGTGTTGGGTGTTGGTCTGTTTTTTTTGCGCCGGGAGGGGGGGGTGGGTCTTTTGTTTTTTATCCACCACTTTCCCAACTTCGCCCGCCCCCCCCCCCCCCATACTTTTTGACCAGTCCCTTCGCCATTGCACTTTATTGACATTACTGTTTAAAGTAACCTTCAGTTCAAATGAGGGTTGCCCTTAGACGACAAGCTCTCACTGTTAGTTTACGTTGTTTAAGGTTGGGTTGTTGGACATGTGTATACTGTGCATTTCAAGAGGTGAAATAAACATCAGAAAACTACATAGCCTGATAACAAGCTCTCCAATTGTGGCGGGCGAAGGGAGCTGCGAAAGGACGCGCGCGCGTGCGTCGCTATCGCGTGTGGCTCTCGCGTGACTTCTTGCGACTCCCCTGAATGGAGTTTGCTCGCATGGTACCCAACATTGAACAATATTAACTGCATGTTTTCGGTGTGTTTGTGTTGTTTAGGTGTCGGTGGTACAGTGGAGGGTGGACCACAACTTGTTATGGTTCTAGCTGCCACAAACTTTCCTTGGGATCTGGATGAAGCCCTGCGCAGAAGACTGGAAAAGAGAGTTTACATACCTCTTCCGGAAAGTACGATAGAGCTCAGCTCCTTTGCCTGCATTAAATTTCTTTTTTTTTTTCCTGCTCCTTTTTAAACCTTGTGCAAGTCCTCATTCTCCGTAAGATCGCCGTGATCAAACGCTCGCTTTAACAAGTGTTCGTCTCGTTTCCACTCCCCCACTCCTTAGGTAGATACTCTTCCTTAAAGGACAACTTCATCTGAAACCAAGATGGCCGCCTTTAATGTAAGCGATTGATCTCTTACGGCAAAATTGGAGACAATAAACAGTCCAGGTCCTTTTTGACATAAACATGAAAGCGGGAACCAACTTCAAGTTCGGTAGAAGACAACTCGGTTGAGCGTGTATTTTTCCCCTCTCTTTTTCTGCCATCCTCGTTACTTTCTCCGTGTAGACGGAATCCTCCCTTTCTGTCTTGGCCTCCCCCTCTTTTTCTTTCCAGGAAGTTAGAAAGCTAAGATTTATTTATGCAAAAAAGTACTAAACTCCTCATGATATTATTCTCAGAATATTTTTTCAGAAAATTACCTCAAGGTTACAGATAACATTCTTTTCTTTGAAGACATGCTCCAATCTTTGCCATGCAACTATTCCCAGGAATACATGTTCATCTTTTCACTGGCATACCCTCCTCACGAACATTACATTTTATTGCATTGCATACACTTTTCACTCGCGAAATAACTACAAACAGTTTTTTCTGTTTCTTTTTTCGTAGCTGTAGGTCGTCTGGAGTTACTAAAGATCAACTTGCGTGGTGTGAACATGGCTGAGGATGTGGTTCTCGAGGAGATCGCGAAAAAGATGGAAGGCTACAGTGGTGCTGATATCACCAATGTTTGCAGGTTCGTGTTGAAGAAACAATTTGAGCAATAATCCGTGAATTTCCATGTCGCGCAAGAGTTTTGGTGTCTCTCTTATTGCGCCATTTTCCATGTTGATTTGCAAAATGCGCAAATTTAAGGGGACTTTGAGCTCAACGCCGCATTTTTGGTGATGTAGTCAAACCTGTATTAAGCAGTTACCCTTGGGCAGTGGCTTACTGACCGCTTAATACAGGTTGACCATTTAATCCAGGTTTGACAAACCTAAGAAGATGATGATGGTGAAAGAGCGAAATTTCTATCCCCACGAAAAATTATAAACAGCTTAATTACTGTATTCTTTATCCTTTCCGGTGTAGGGACGCCTCTATGATGGCAATGAGGCGTCGAATCAGGGGCTTGACGCCAGAACAGATCAAGAACTTGCCAAAAGAGGAACTTGATTTGCCTGTTAACATGGAAGACTTCGATCTCGCACTGAAGAAAGTTTCCAAGTCTGTTTCTGATGCGGACATTAAAAAATACGAAGACTGGATGAAAGAGTTTGGTGCCACATAATTGTTATAAATCTGGTGCGGTTTAGTTCTGTCGCTTTGTGTGGAATAGTCAAAGGTCGGATTTCCCCTAAGAATCCTTGACAGGTTATTTACGTGTTGATGTTTCAACAAGTTACGAATCGTGACTGTGAAATAATTCTTTGTTAAGCCGCATTAAAAATGGAAGAAATAACAATTTTTTTCTCGACTTGTTCTTAATCTTTGCCTTTTTTACCGGCGCCTGACTTAGCTCAGTTGTGATCGCAGGTCTGCAGGGCGGAAGGTCGCGGATTCACACCCCAGCCGGACCAACACTCAGGGTCTTTAAATAACCGAGGAGAAGGTGCTGCCTTTGTAATGGCAACTGCAAATGGTTAGACTTTCTATTCTTTTCGGATAAGGACGAAAAACCTTCTTGTTACGTCAAAGAACCCTCACCACTGTTCGCCACCACCGGTGGCGTGGCAAACCTTTCCTGGGCTGGGTGGTCGCTTAGCCACGCGTCTTGTGAAGCAGAGATAACTAAAGAGTCAATAAAGACGAAAACGGAAAGCGTAAATTGTTTCTGTAACGGTGTTGTCTAAAGTATTAAGCTTAGATTAATTGTCATGTCCACAGATTTGGAATACAGAGAAAAAGAGAAAGTAGGCGACAGGCCAACGAAGCTCAACGAGAAAAAAGAGCGAGAGATAAAAGACAAAGGAGAGATTTTTTTTTGTTGGAAGAACAACATGAAAATTTTGTAGCAGCGGTGGGAGAATAAGAAATGCTAGCGGCCACCAAGCTGAAAATGAGCGGCAGTGAAAAAAAAATGAACAAGAACACGCACGACATTTCCTCCATAAAACGTGTAACCAGGAAGTTTCTGGAAGTTTTAAGGCGATGTTACACGGGACGACTCGCAACAACGATTTTTAGCGCAACACAGCGTTGCAATGCTGGAACAAGGTTGTAACCATTCGAAACAATGTTGCGACGCTGTGTTGCGCCAAAAATCGTCGTTGCGAATCGTCTTGTGTAACATCGCCTTTACGTTGTAGTCGTGCAAAACAACGGCAAAGAAATGTACAGAATGTACAAAAGAAGTGTGCTGCACGTGCAAAGTTGCTTTTGGCTTATTAGACCTTTTGGTGGTTTACACGTTACGTCATCGCCGCCATGCTAGTGGACGGTAAACAAAATATCGCTCATCAGCTCGTTTTGTTTGTCCACCAGCATTTGTACTTTTCACCATTGTTCTTTGTGTCTCCCGAGACTGCATGAAAACCACCTATTGTTGTTTTTCACTGTCTCGTTTCCTTCGTCTCTTAGCATTGCACCATTATATATTTTGTTTGAGCAAACTATAACTGAATATTATCGAGAGCTTTAGCCCTGGTTAAACCTATATATTATAGCGATAACCTCATGATCGTCCTTCTGGTGTCGTAATGGCTCCTGTAAACAGTTTAAGTATGGACAGGAAAATGCAGTAGAGCCATAACCGGCATCTAAAAGCATCGAAAGTGCGTTTTATGGGACTTTGTGACGCTTTCCTGTCTGTTCTTCTCTTAGTTTTCGCTCCGCATCTTTTGTCTTGGTTGTCAGTGTGAATACAGTCTAAACCGGGAGGGCACAAGTACAAGCGACAAAAACGTGACACTCGCACGCCGTGAAACCCCTCTTTCCCCGCCAGGTTTGGATCATTGGAGCTAACAGGGGCTTAGCTAGCACGGTCATTACCAACAATTTGATCTCTTATGCTTGTTAGCTCTCCCCTAAAGGCATAATTTATAACAAGAGGTAGGGTGATCAAACCAAAAATTGGTAGGCCCGGGTCTACAGGTTTACAGGCTGGCTACGCCCGTGGCTAATATATATGGTAATGTAACAGGGAATTTTATTGGGGAATTAAAAGCTCTATGGTTGAGCGAGAGGTGTCCTGCTACTAACCGGGATCTTTAAATCAAGTGGATCCTTACTTTGTTCAGGAACTTGTCGTTTTATTGCTGATCTTCACTCATTCAGTTACAGTCAGAACGAAAGAAAGGCTTATTGTCATATACGAGCTTACAGCCAATAGTATTTAGTGGAATCACTTTTCTTTGTGTAAGATCAACAAACAGAGGAAATGCTAAGTATGCTGATCTTCGCACCTTTACAACCTAAAAACTCATTTTATACAGTTGAACCCCGATTAAGCGGCCACCCACGAGGCCCCGTCAAGATAAGAGGTTGGCCGCTCATAAATTAGCATAATCAACACGTTATCAATTAAGCAATCAATCAATAAATTGTTATAAATAGATTGAAATCGCAAGTCGAAAATAAGAATTTAAATCGGCTTTTGTATCAGAGGAGCTCAAACTGCAAGCAGAAACGGATGAAATACTGTTTAAAAAAAACGATTCAAATTCTGACTTCCGACATCCGAATAAGCCCCAAAATGCAATTTCTGCGCGTACGGCACGATGTATTTAGCTAGAAGATACCAGCTGGAGGTCTGAAGTGTGTGAGGAAACGGAAGTCTGAAAACAAACCTCGGAAGTCGGAAGTCGTAGAGGTTGCCCTATTAATTTGGTCACGGTACTTACCAACAGTTATTTAAACCATCTTTCTTTCATTGTCATCATATATGCTTATTCAGAGGAATTTTTTATGTAAATACATCTCCTCATACATCAGGCAAAGGACGTCTGACCTTTTAAAGGGTGCATGCAGAGAACCTTGGCTCTTGTAGCGCTGGAATCTGTATCTGTGATTTTCCACGTACAAGGGACAACTTGCTCGTAACTTGTCATCGTTATGGGAACTTTATATCAGGTATGTAGTGTTCTAAGAAAAAAGCTCTTCGACTTAATTAAATCAACCTGGGACATATCTGATGTTTTAAAAACAAGTGTATCAACAAAAAATTGATTACTTACTGTACCTTGAGAACAAATATCTACACCTTTTGCATCACTGCTGTTTCAAGAGGGGACTACAATGTCTAGGGAATATCAGCCGTTATACTCGGTTAGGTTCCTGAAAACGTTTCCATTTTGCATATTTGTAAGTGACGTGATCAGTTCTTAGCTTCTATCTTCCTGCTCACTAGAAATGTCTTTAAAAATCACATCCTTGGCTTCCCTGTACGTGCAGTATTTTCGAAAGGCTGCAAGAACTACCGCACATTGTTACGATTATAAATCAGGTCAGATCGCCTTTAAGTCAACCAGGCGTGAAACAAAATATCGTTAATGCCACCGCTCCGAAGCAAATTCTGTTAAATTTTTGTTCATCGTGACTTCCACCCCTTCGAATCATGTGGACGTGAAGCTTTAAATCCAGGGTTATTACCGCTTCCAACCCCACTGATAATGCTTCCGGCTCCAGTCGTTTACAAACGCTCAACGGCTGGAAGCGATGAGACTTGGCTTGCATTGGCATGTCAAAAAGGCTCCCAATGATACTACTTTAACTTCAGCTTTTTAAAACTAAAATAACTTAAGTCTCCCATTTATTAATAACCATTAATTTCGAACCTTCTTAAGAACGTTGATAATATAACCGAGCTAAATCGATTTCCTCAATACTAGTTTCAGAAACTAGTGAGCATCACGGCTAATGAATGTTTATGTTTACATCAAGATCATATTTGAATTCCACTATTAAAAGCGCTCGAGCGTCTCAAAACATTTATATACTTCGTTTTCGTCCAGACGTGCCGATCTCTCAGTGATCTCGGGTCTCTAAGTTCAGTGGTAATGGTATACTATGAGTATCGTGTTTATCCCTGTTTTCTGATAGTTACAATGTCGAACAATGTGTCACAGATTGCTGTCGTAGCCTCCCAGAATTGTATTGCAGTCGCAATATCTTAAAGTGACACCGTCCCCGAAGGGCATTGCGATTAAAATTGGAACAATGCATTGTTAGCCCGCATAGTCCACAGCCTAGTTCAGTTTTCGGGTCCCAACTTTTTTTATTTTGCTTTTTTTTTGTATTCGACGATCCGCCAAGGAATAAACTATAGTGCAAAAACTTTACTTGCAAATTTAACACTACAGTCAACGCTACTTCACGGTCACAAATCCACAAACATCGCCATTAATGAGAAATGTAAATTGGTTTGCTTATTGTCATGAATTACATCAGCCCTCGGTGACTGGAATAATCGACCACATATTAAGAGAAAGATATACATAATAGTAATGGATTGAAAGGATCCTATAATCTACAGCATTTTCCATTCGCTTGTATCTTGACTCTCATAAACGAAAGAATCTTGTAGGCAGTTGCTTACAATAGCGGAACTATTAATCAGAGTCCCAGTGAGAAAATTCAAACTGGAGCAGTCGCAAAAAATAGTTACAGTAAAATATCAAAAAAACTGCCAATCCACAAAATTTAACACCCGCATAGTCAGTTCCAAGCTCCGAGATAGTCGGGTCCGAAAGCGCGAACACATAAATAAAACGAGAGGAGACTGGGGAGAGGACTGGAGGCGGAGCTCTCTGCCTCTCTCTCTCCCTTCCTCCCACAACCCCCCCCCCCCCCCCCCCCCCCCCCCCCCCCCCCCCCCCCCCCCCCCCCCCCCCCCCCCGCCCCGCGCCGCCCCCTTTCCCACATCAAGCGCTCATATTTTCGATGGCTGGAAGCGATGAGACTTGGCTTGCATTGCCGATGTCAAAACTCCCAATTAATGATACTCCTTTACCTTGAGCTTTTTAAAACTAAAATTACTAAAGTCTCCCATTTATTAATAACCATTAATTTCGAACCTTCTTAAAACCGTTGATAATATAACCGAGCCAAATCGATTTCCTCAATAATAGTTTGGGTTTACAGAAGAACAGAAACTAGTAAGCATCACGGCTAATGAATAATGTTTATTTTTACATCGAGAGCAGATAAAAATATCCCTTTGAATATTTTTGATGTTTTTCAGGCTCCGAGATAGTCGGGTCCGAAAGCGCGAGAAAAATAAAGAGGGGTAAAACGCTTTGCGAGTGAGTTGCTCGAACACCCCTACAATAGCATCAGACCCGGGGCCGGAACCCCCCAACACTTACCGGCTATCCCGCTGTTTACTATCTTAATGCACAATTTAAAGCACTTCCTTAAGGGCTAACTGCAAACTAGCCTTGTGGTTGCTGATGGCTCTAGAAAGTTAAGGCTTTCTTCACAATATATCGGATGACGTTTGCG